CTCAAATTCCTTTCCCTGTCTAATCCTACCTACCTTTTTGTGCCCCATTGGTGCACTGTCTTGTTGCTGATACCCATTCTCTGCCTGGCAGGGTTCAGTTCTACAGCCTCTGTTGTGTGTTGCGAGGGAGGGGTATCATTCCCTATTCTTTTAAACGCTTCCTTGCAAATATGAATTAGCCATTGAGGCCTCAGGAGCAGGGCCAGGTAAGATGTTAGTCCATTTTTCAGCACCTTTGTCATGCTCAGAGCTCTAACAGAGCTGGGAAGGGAAAGCCAGATGGCTGAGCTGGAATCCCAAATCAGTCTCCTCAGCCCTGGGCGCCATTATCCACAGGCTGTGGCTGCATCACCCTCAAAGCGACATGCTAGACTTTGGACATGAGTTGCCATATTGTGGATGAAGCGCTTGTCTGTGGAGTCCTTCAGCTTGGCCTAGGCTAAGAGGCCACAGGGAGGCTTTGTGAAGGCCTCCCTTGCCACACCTTGTGTGGCAAGGTGCCAGGAGCCAGGCCCCATGCATGCCTTTCCAGCACATTTTTCTAGGGACTTGTGGATGCTTCTGAGAAACATAGCTCAGACTGAAAGTGGCTAGCATGATCAGTAGCGGTCAGGAAACTGATCAAGATCAAGTCATATCAGTTTGTGACAAGGAGACAACATGGCTACACCTCACATATAGGTCAGCAGACTGTCTAGTTCTCCTATGTATTCATGCCCCTTTCTCCCGTAGCTGAGAAAAGACCTTTCATAAAACTGAACCAATAACTAGCCGGGCATGTGGCACACGCCTTTACTCCCAGTACTTAGGAGGCAGAGGCAGGTAGATCTCTGTGAGACTGAGGCCAACCTGGTCAAGATAGCAAGTTCCAGGCCACTCAAGACAACATAGAAGGACCCTGTCTCAGGAAAAACTAAACAAAAACAAAAAACCCTAAACCAGTAATTAGTAGTACATCTATAGGATACAACTGTAGTCAACAATAAAGAGGAACCTTTAATGCATTAGACAACTTGAATGGAACACATTGTTATTCCCAGTTTTAAAAATTTTTAATCTAAATATTTTTATTATTTATGAATAAATGTATATGTTTGCGTATGAGTGAGGAGGACAGTGGGACGTCAGATCCTTTGGAGCTGGAGTTACAGGCAGTTAGGAGCCACCAGATGTGCGTCCTGGGAATGGAACTCAGGTTCTCTGAAAGAACAGTATGTACTCTTAACCACTGAACCATCACACCAACTCTGTTGTGGTTTTTTGTTTGTTTGTTTGAGACAGGGTCTGTCTGTGTAGCCAAGGCTGTCCTGGAACTTGCTCTGTAGACCAGTCTGGCTTCAAACTCATAGAGTTCTGCCTGCCTCTGCCTCCTGAGTGCTGAGGAAGGTATGTGCCACCACACTGGGCTTCCAGTTTTTTAGCAAACCAACTTCAGGTCAGTGAGGTGGGTTCGCTGGTAAAGGCACATGCCATGCAAGCCTGGAAGTCAACGTGCAATCCCAGAGCCTATGGTGGAGGGAGAACTGACTCCCGAAAACTGCACTGAGCTCCCCACAGGCACTACAGCGTGCACCTGCACACGCACGCGCGCACACACACACACACACACACATGCACGCACGCACACACGCGTGCGCAGAGTGTCTGAGGCCAGAAGAGAGAATCAGATCTCTTGGAACTACAGGTAATCATGAGCCACCCAACCTGAGAGCTAAGAATGAATGGGTCCTTTGGAAGAGCAGCAAGGACCAGTGAATAATCATCTCTCTTGTCCTAAGCCCCACTCTCATGGAGTGTGAGGAAGGCTTGTGGTTGGCTTCAAACAGGCCGAGTATGGCAAAGGCAATGGGATGGCACTCCATGCCACACCATGTGACACCTTGGTAGTACACAGAAAAATTACTTTCTTCCTGGCAGCAAGCATGCTAGGACATGTCTGTGGGGAGGGAAAGCCTCGTGGCAGGAACTGTGGGTGGCCTCTAGAGGTTCGGCCCCCAGTCCTGTAATAGCAGTGAAATATGAAAATTTGTGAACAGCCACCCCATGATCTTGAAAGTCCCAGTCTTCAGATGAGACCATAGCTTTGGTTAAGACCCTGACTACTGTTCAGGTAACCCAGAGCCAAAAACAGCTGAGTGATCAGACTCTTGACAAACTAGCAGATGTGTATTGTCAAGCAACTGAATTTGTTGAACATCAATAGGAAATTCACAGAGTGAGTAAATACACGTTAGAAAACACATTAGAGAAAGCAGAGTCAGGGGCTGGAGCTTATATAAATGCACACAAAACAATCGAACACGCCTTATTTTAAGAACCTAAATTTAGCTGGGCAGTGGTGGCACACACCTTTAATCCCAGCACTTGGGAGGCATAGGCAGGCGGATCTCTATGAGTTCAAGGCCAGCCTGGTCTACAAGAGCTAGTTTCAGGACAGACTCCAAAGCTACAAAGAAACCCTGTCTCCATAAAAACAAACAAATACAAACAAAGAACCTAAACTTATTGAAGGCACAGAATTTTTTCCTAATCTTTGTGGACTCCTCTTCACTTTAAGAGACCCCTCATTCTTTAGCTTTGCCCAGGCTGTCTACACTCATGGTGATCATCCTCCCTCAACCTCAGACTCTAAAGTGCTAGGATTACAGTTATGAGCCATCATGTCCAGGTACAGTTAACTTTCTATGACCGTGTAACTCATTCTCAGTGTCCCACTGTCTCCCTGGCCCACCCCTCTTATTTTAATCCAATCCAATCCTGGATCTTTTCTCTGTGACTTGGTCACCTTTTCCAGGCGGGTCTCCAATTCTGACACTTCAGCTTCCACCAGTTCAATTGAGGCTCTGAGAAAGGAGGGACAGGGTCATGAGAACAGAGCTTGGGTTCACTGGGTCCTCTGCTTATCATCAAGATGGGGGGTTGGAGTCATGGGGTGGTGGGTACAGACAGACAAATGAGTTGAGAATGGGCGCCCACCCACAAGCCAGTTATTACTCGTGTGCTACTGTGCACATTCTAAGCTTCAATAACCAAGACCAGAGCAGGAAGTGTCAGGAGGGTGGATGTGGCCAGGGCAGGAAGTTGCTAACCGCCCCGGGGCAGGTGCTGGGGGAGGGGTTCCACTGAGAAGGAAGAAGGAATGCCAATTATAAAGGCCAGAAGGTGCAGACAGGCAGAGAAAAAGAGCTTTGGAGAGCATGGGGGTTTTGCTTTTTGTAATTTGCTTTTGAAGGGTTTCACTCTGTAGCCCAGGTTAGTCTGGAACACACAGCAATCTTCCTGCCTCAGTCTCCCAAGTGCTGGGATTACAGGTGTGAAACACCAGGCCCGGGTTGAAGAGCAGATGCACCATTTCCCATCAGTTCCCTCTTGTCTCTTTGTGGCCTAGGCTTTAAGGGAGGTCCGGCCTGGGGGATGCTGTTTGTCAGGGCATGTGGAACCTTTCGGCCCATCCCCACCCCTTAGCCTGCTGGACCTGCACACTTACCGGAAGCGGGGTGAGTCCTTGAGACATTCTTCAAAATCTAGCTTGACCGTCATCTCAGGTGACCTGCTTTGGCCTAAGGGCCCTGGAGGCCTGGCAGGTTGGGGGGGGGGATGTAGGTAAATGCACTCCCCACCCCCCAGGAGGGTTATTGATGAGGAAGAGGAGGTCCTCTGGTCGGCAGGGCCTGGGTCTGCAATTCCTTCCCCAAAGGGAAAGGGGTGACCCAGGAGGAGCTCTCACCCCACCACTTCTAGGCAGCTCTGGGAGGGGCAGAGGTGGGGCCTGGGCGGAGGGGGCGCTGAGATCAGAGAAACCACAGCCCCGCCCCTAGAGACTGTCTGCTGTCATCTTCCTTCTGGAACCCCGGTCTTTCTTAGCAACTTTCTCCTTTGGTGAATAAATTTTTTGAGGGAAAGCATGAGGATCTAGAGTCAAATGCTGCCTAGGACAAGGTGGCACCTGCCTTTAATTACAGCAGAGGCAGGCAGATCTCTGTGAGGTCAAGGCTAGTGTGATCTATGTAGCAACAGGCCAGTGAGAGCGACACAGTGAGACCCTGTCTACAAAACAAACAAAAACCAAAAAAGTTTGTGTGATCCAGGATAAGGTCTCTAGCCCTTCAGTTTCCTCAACTGTGAGATAACTGTTACAAGGCCAGGTGTGATTGTACACACTTTTAATCCCAGCACTCAGTTAATTGTGGTAACTAACAGTAGATTGTGGGGGTTTGTTGTTTGTCTTTTGAGACAGGGTTTCTTTGTGTAACCTTTGGCTGTCTCTGTAGACCAGGCTGGCCTCTAACTCACAGAGATCCACCTGCTTCTGTCCCAAGTGCTGTGATTAAAGATGGTCAATTAATTATAACAGGCAATGCCATCCTGCTGCAAGCTTGGGCCTTTTCAAGATCCTAGGTTTTGCCAGGCTGTGGTGACACATGCTTTTGATCCCAACACTTGGGAGGTAAGGTAGACAGATCTCTGAATTTGAGGCTAACCTGGTTTACAGAGTAAATTCCAGAAAGACAGCCAGAGTTACATAGAGAAACTCTGTCTCAACAAAAATAGTAGTAATAATAATAATAGTAATAAAATTTTAAAAATCCTAGAGGGCCAGCAAGGTGGCTCACTGAGTAAAAGTGCTTGCCAGACAGCAAGTCTGACAACCTGAGTTTGATCTCTGGAAGCCTCAGTGGAATTGATTCTGGAAAGTTCCTTTGACCGCCAACAGGTGCGCCACATGAAGTGAATAAAACAGATAGGGTTTTAAAAAATTCACGAAGTTTTGTTTTATGCTTAACAGGATCTCATCATGTAGAACAACTTATGCTCAAATTTGTGATTTTGCTGCCTTAGCCCCTAAGTGCTTACTCCTAGGAGTCCAGTCCCTTGGGTTGTGCTCAGCTTCCTTCTCTTGGCTCTGCTTTCCTCATTTATTGTACATAGAGACTCCCACACCCCCAACTCTCCCAATCCTCGATAGAGCGGGCCCAGTCTGGACAGCCAATTCCCAGCACTCAGGTTCCTGATGTCTTTATTGTCCACTGTTAGAGTGGGAAGGGCTGGGGAAGGCTGTCCTCACCCCATCCTCAGCCGGCTACATTTTCCATGGTCTAGGCTCTTTATCCTGAGTCCACTGGAGCCACAAGCTTTCATCTAGAGAAAGAGGAGGTTGGGCTTTCTTGCAGCTGGGGTAAGCTCTTGTTCATGTGAACCTCAAATCTCTAGAACCTACCCACTTAATCCCAATGCCTCTCTGTTCAGTGCAAATACCCCCTTGCCTCTGTCCACGCTCATGTCTGCGCCCATTCCAGCTTGGAGGGTTCTGGTTACTTCCATGTTCCTTTTCTGAGTTCCCTGTGCTTCGGCGTGTCAGCCCCTTAGCCCAATAGTTGGATGCCACCTGAGACCCATTGCCTCTGGAGGATATGGTACTAACTAGAGAGGGGTGGGGTAGCAGAGAGGAGTCAAGGAGGAGGCATGGCGTCACTGGCTTATGCTAGACTGGGGGGATTCTCAATCCCCCTGAGCATCCCTGGTATCTGTTCTCTGTGACATAGACATTAGACTCTGGGATGGTTAGGGCCTCTTTTAATGCCTAATGCTGATGCACTGGCCTGCTAGGATTGGGAGGCTGGGAGGTGGGAGCTTGCTAAAAGCCAGGCTAAAGGAGATGGTACCCTTCTCGGGTTGCAATAGGGTCATGGATACGTCCAGAGAGCCCTAAATGATTTTTATCATACCCTATGGGGCTTCCAATAGGACCTGAAGTGCCTTTGGGATTCTCAGTAACCCAGATCAGGCCTGAAGAACCTGGAAGTAACGTGAGATGAGGGCTGGGGCACCTAGCAAGCTGCTTGTTCTGCCCATCCACCCCCGGGCTGTCCTCCCCAGCTCTCACTGTCCTGTTCTTCATCTTCTAGATCCTCTCCAAGCTCTGGGTGGGAACAGGACCTCAGGTATCTTCCTTTACTGTAATACTCCTTGCGCTGTAGATCAGTCTGCTCCCTCACCGTAGAGTCTGAAGCTGAGGGGAACTGGTTTCTGTAAGTGGCAGAATCTGAAAAATCACCCAGACAGTCTGAGTCTGTGGCCACCTGCTGTGCCTACGAATCCTAAGTGTGCACAGTGGGCCACTACCAGTCGGGAAATGTTCAGGTACCAGTTCTCATCTGCCGCCCTGCCCCCAGTTTAGAAAACCTTCAGTGAGTCTGCATCCCCCAGTGGTTCACTCAAACTGTCTGTTCCCCCAGCTTGTCATCTCTGGAGGCCACCCCGAGTGGAGACTCAGCTCCAGCTGTCCCTTTTCTTCCCTGGGGTAACCTCCAACCACTGCCTCTCTACCAGACAGCAGAACTGTACGCCAGTGCAACGAAGAGAGGAGAACAGAACGGAGAAGTGAGGAGCAGAGCCAAAGAGAACAGATATGAAAAAAGCAAAGTTCAGGGAGAGCTGGACTCTGGAAGAGCCTCTCGTCTACGGTCGTCTCTTCATTCCCGAGGTCTCTGCCACTAACCTCTGGTGCCTAGGACATGTCTGTCAGTCACCAGGACAGTCTCGTTTTTGACTCCTGTGGGCAGTCTTCCTGCCCAGCCTTTGTCCACAGGCCTGGGCTTCAGGTCCATCATCACACTTTGATTACTGTTGCTGATGCTGGCACTAGCCCCACTGCTCTCATCCTCATTGGCCGAGGGCAGATTTCTCGGGGCTTTCAGGAATTTGCCTTCACTGTAGTGTATCTTTCGGTGTTTGTCAAAATCACTGGAGTCTGTGGGCCAGTGTGGAAGCTTGGCTCTCCCTCCAGGCTTTCCCTCCCCGTTCCATCAAGGCCCGCCCCACCCACATCTCACTTACAAGTCTTGGCAAAGCTATCTGCAGTACTGGAGCTTTTGTTGTCTCCATACTGGAGGACCTTGGGGAGGAAATTGTCCATTGTGGCAAACCTGAAGGGGAGGGAGACTAGTTGGGGGTACAGAAGGGAGAAAACAACAGTGGGGGCAGGTGGTGGGTGGGGACCAAGCTGGTGATACCCTAGATCGGTTTTGGTTATGCCCGAGGGGGAGTGTAGTATGTACCATTTTCGGGGCCAAAGAACAAAGCTGAGACTGAGTTCAGAGGTATGGGGCAGAGGGCACAGCTCTCCAGTAGACTCTCACCTCTCTGCCAGTGCTTCAGGGGTCACCTTCAGAGAAGACCCGGCAGAGAGGTCCTCGTCATTGTCCTGCAGCCTGAGGAGGGGAAGCAGGGCTAGTACCTGAGGCTTCTCGGCCTCTTTCTCCTGTTCCCTTGCTAGAATACAGGAGTCCCGGCTGAAAACCTAGGGTTGAGGGCTTAGCACCTGTGGTAGGGGGTGCTGGGTTCATCCACCTTCATAAAGCCATAGTCTTTGTCAGCAGGGTGGTAGGTAGCCAAGATGTTCATCTCATCCCAGCGCTGAGATTTCCTAAGGTGTGGGGAGGACACAGCAAAGGAGGAAGCTCTTCTGAGGACCCTCACCTAACAGAGGGGTCTCCTTCATCCTTCCAGGCATGCACAGAACTCTTCCGATATTCCCTTGTAGAGGCTAGGATTGGAGCCAGATGCCCAGTGGTAATTACAGTGCGCTGTGGCCAGGATTTCTGTGACCCTTGCCGCCTCCCCCAAGTCTTGGAACCTCAGATTTCCTACCCAATATTTCTCACCTACTGTCCCCTATCCCCTTTTCAGGACTCCTCCCCTTTTTTCTTGGTTTCCGCCCTAGGGGTCCTGAACTCCTCCCTCCCATCTCAGGTTTGTGGGCTCCTGGCTAACCGCTGAGCTTACTTCTCCGTACTGGAGGTTTTCTTCATCATGAAGGAACTGCCATTTTTTAGGATGCTCCGGGGACGCTCCTCACAGTTTTGAGAGTTCAAGAGAGCTGACCCGGAACGTGGACTATTCTCCGAGCTGTACACTTTAGGCTCCCCCGGCCCAGGGATGGACACCCTAGATGCACCGGTTCCAGTGCCAGGGGATTTGCTGGACCCAAGGCTACAACCTGCAACCTCCCCGAGATGCAGACTGGGTCCGGAACTGAGGGTCACTACCCCTTCAGAGGGCCGGACTGGGCCAGGACTACAAATTACAGTGCCCCCGGAATGCAAGAGGGGGCCAGAACCAGGAAACAAGGCTACTCCGGAGGGCAGTCCGGTGTCTGTTTGTTTACCTCGGACACCTCCAGGTACTGCCCTAGGAACCCCCCGAGGGGATTCCGCACTGAGGCCGCTAACCGACGCAAGAGACTCGGGCTTCTCCATGGCTCAACTTGGTAGCCACTTCAATTACTCGGCCCAGCCTCCCAGCTCCACATAGTCCCGCCCCTTGGCCCTGCCCCCACCGCAGTGGGCGGGGGGCGCTGGGGCTCAGGGTCAGACTGGCTCTCCTCAGCCTCTGCTTCCTGGCGCTGGAGCAGGTGAAAACAAGACTATATAGAGACTACAGTCTTGGAGCCCCTTCGCACGCCCTTCTCTAATTGTCACACCCAAAGACTTTCTTTGTCTCTGTACCGCCCTTCTCCATCATCGCCCTTCTCCGAATCAACCAATCACAGTCAAGGGACCTGGCCCCGGCCGAGACGCCCCTTGTGACATCACAGCCCTTCAGCCCTCCAACCTCAGCGAGGTCTTCTAAGTAGGGTTGCAGTTCTGTTAATAGGTCTAAGGTAACCTCTTGGAGTTATCAGCTCTGTTGTTTGAGATTACCTGTCGGGGTAGTTCTAGGCTCTTTCTTAATAATTTAAGTTTCACCGAATCGTTGCTTAAGTTGGTCTTGAACGACTCGCGGGCTCCCCCCACAGTCAGCTCACCGTGCCTCAAAGAGAGGTGTGATGCAAAATGTGTGGGGGTGGGGGCGGGGAAGGCTGCGACGAGAGGTGCGGTGCGTGGATGGATTGCGACATTTCCGGTCTCGGCATTATGGAGGACCGAGACTCGGATTCATAAAACTACCTTTTCTCTGTCCCGAGGATAATGTTTATATCACTTTAGAGCGTGCGGTGTGAAAGGAAGCCACTATTCCTTGTGTTAAAGGGAATACATGTCTCTTCCCGACAAGGGCTGGGCCCTGGGCGCCGCGACGTAGCAAAGTGTATTTGGGCGCCCAGCACGCCTCTGTCGCAAATACGCCCGCGGCGGGCGTTTCTCCCATTCGCTGTCGCAAAAGCCAACCAAATCCTCCGGTTTCTCCGAGCCGCTCTCGCGCTCATCCCGCCGTGCCGTAAAGCAAGTCCCCCGACCCCGTCGTCCTTTCGTTCCCCTCGTGACAGACCTTTTTCCTTAGCGCTGGATGCTTCGGTGCAGGCAGTGCCGTAAAGCACAGCCGGCCCCAGCCCCCGGCCGTATTCCCCCAGGGCGTCTGTCCGCCGCGGTTGCCACGGTGCCGCCAAGCACGGCTGTCGCGCGGCCGCGGTTTCAGCGGCGATGGCGGCGGGGTCGGGTGGGAGTGGGGG